GGCCGCATCCGGAGCCTGCCTATCTTTATCTTGAGAGCACAAAATACCCCTTTTGTTCACCCTTTTGATTTTGCTTTCGTAGCTTAACTATGTCTCCTATTTAGGAAAAGAAAAGGAATATTTATAATTACTACCTGTAATAGAAATCACCCTGCTTTGTCTTACTTCGGAAATAATCAAGTGGAAATGTGGAGATAGTTGAAAGGTTACCAGATTTGTACTGAGAAATGTCACACAACAGTGTCATTGCTGTTCTATAAATATCACGAATGTCTTACTTTTAATAGCGTGCTCTGTCCTTGATATTTCTAAAGAATTCTCTGCAACACACATAGTGAATATACTTTAGAACAGGGTGCCCACGAAGTAAATGCGTGCCGGGGCTGGCCTGTGTCAGGCCACAAGCCCTGTCTACCCGCAGGGCCATCGCCCCTCCGGGTTCCTATTCATTGCTGTCATGTGGAAATGCCCCGAGCAGCCTGACGTCCCGTTGTTCAAGGGCGGCCGGCGTTCTGGATGTCCGCATGACTGCCCTCTCCAGACCACTCGGGTCATCCTACCCCACCAGAGCAGGAGGCCACAGAACCTTCCTTGTTACCTTGCTCCCGAATACCATCTCGACGTGCTGTAATGTCATCAACTATCCTGTACCCACCAGTGTGAAAGAGTATGTCCCTCCATTTTACTTTTTAACAATTCCAGAGATCCACCCCCTTTGCCTTCTCCTGCCCCTTAATCTACCACCAATGGATTTCATGTTACCTTCCCTGTTTCTCCTCTTTAGATTCTAATGTATAAAATAAGCTGCAAAACAGCCATTCTCCAGAGCATTTTTTTTTCTTTTTTAATTGATCTTTATTGCTGAAAATATTATAGATGTCTCCTTTTTTCCCCATTAACCCCTTCCACCCTGGACCCACTCCTCGCCCTAGGCCTTCACCACACTATAGTCGGTGTCCATGGGTTTTGCAAATACACATATAAATTCTTTGGTTAATCTCTCCCCACCTACCCACCCATCTCCTTGGGCAAAAGAAACAAAGGAAAAGATAAACAAATGGGACTACATCAAACTAAAAACTTCTGCACAGCAAAAGAAATCACCCTCAAAATACAAAGGAACCCCAGGGTCTGGGAGAACATATTTGCCAAGGATGAATCTGATAAAGGGCTAATTTCCAAAATGTACAAAGAACTCCTACTACTCAGCAAGAGGAAGGCAAACAACCCAATTAAAAAATGGGTAAAGGACCTGAATAGACACTTCTCCAAAGAGGACATACAGATGGCCAAGACACATGAGAAAATGCTCAACATCTAGTCATCAGAGAGATGCAAATTAAAACCACAATGAGGTATCACCTCACACCTGTCAGAATGACTGCCATTGCCCAGCCGAGTGTGGCTCAGCGGTTGAGCATCGACCTAGGATCCAGGCGATCAGGGTTCGATTCCCGGTCAGGGCACATGCCCAGGTTGCGGGCTTGATCCCCAGTCAGGGGCGTGCAGGAGGCAGCCGATCAAGACTCTCTCATCATTGATGTTTCTATCTCTTTCTCTCCCTCTCCTTCCCTCTCTCTCAAATCAATAAAGATATATTTTAAAAAAAGAAAAAAAAAAAGAATGGCTGCCATCAACAAATCAATAAATGACACATGCTGGAGAGGGTGTGGAGAAAGGGGAGCCCTGGTACACTGCTGGTGGGAATGCAGCCACTTTGGAAAACAGTATAGGGGTGCCTCAAAAAATTAGAAATGGAGCTGCCTTTTGACCCAGTGGTCCCACTTCTAGGAATATATCTTAAGAATCCTGAAACACCAATCAGAAAGAATATATGCATCCCTATGTTCATAGCAGCACAATTTACAGAGCATTTTCTTAATCCATTGCTTCCTAAAAATTGTACATTTGTCTCAAATAAACTCATGAAAATTCTCTGCAGGTTTGAACACTTCTGTTGACAGTTGTTAAGAAACACCAAGCAGGGGCTGTTTAGTCAGTTAATATTTATTGAGTGGCTGTTACATGCTATCCTGAAAGGAAAAAAGCCCCTGATGGATGGGAGAATAGAGGGACAGGCAGTCAAAGAAGACTAGATCTTGAAAGGCTATGAAGACAGTTTTATTTTTGGTATAATGGGAAGCTATTGTAGGGCTTTAAGTACTGGGCGCAATGTGGTCTGATTCACATTTTAGAAAGATCACTATCCCACTGTGTGGACAAGAGACAATAAGGGAACAACAGAGAAGCCAAAAAGACCAAACAGGAGACTGTTTTCATCGCTGGTATGGATTGTTTGTGCCCTAACCCCCCATCCATCTGAAAATGCCTTTATTTAAAGATAAGATCTTTAGAGAAGTAATCAATTTAAAATGAGGTCATTAGAGTGGGCCCTCATTCAATATGACTGGTGTCTTTATAAAAAGGAGCAATTCGGAGAAAGACACACACAAAGAGAAAGCTATGTGAAGATGAAAGCAGAGATCACAGTGATCCTTCTACAGGCCTATAAATGCCAAAGATTGCCAGTAACATCAGGATCGAGGTGAGAGGAACTGGCACTCACAACCCTCAGAAGGAACCAGCCCTGCCAATACCTTCATCTTGGACTTCTGGCCTCCAGGACTCTAAGATAATAAACTTCTGCTGTGCAAGCAGCCGTCTCTGGTACTTTTCTGTGGCCGTCCTAGGAAACTAATGCAAGAGTGAAGAGTCGATATTGGTGGTGGCTTGGGCTAGGATATTAGCATGAAGATAGTGAGAGGTGGTTGGGTTAGAGCTCTATTTTGGAAAAAGATCCTGCAAAACTTACTGCTTTGTGAGAACCAATGTGAGAGATATTAAGGACGATTCCTCAATGGAAAATAATGCCTTTTTCTCAGATGGGGAAAGTTCATGAAGGACACCATTATCTGATCAATGGGAAAGATAAGAAATCAAGTTTTGTCCTGATCGTGTAAAGAAGGATGTTTACTACACATTCAAATGGACATATCATCTAAGCGGTTAAATATATCCGTTTAAAGTTGGTGGGGGTTGTGGTAGTTGGGGGAAAAATCTGGGCAGGGCTGGAGATACAAATTCGGAAGTCATGAACAAATAGTTGATATTCATATTTGTTCAAATATGAAAAAGTATTTGAAACTATGTGATTCAATGAGTGAAGAAAGATAAGAAAGCCAAGAATTGGACCTTTGTCTTAGCTTGGGTTGCTATCACCAATTACCAGAGCCTGGGTGGCTTAAACTTCAAGGATTTATTCCTCACAGTTCTGGAGGCTGGAAGTCGGAGATCAGGCGGAGAGGCTCTCCCTGGCTTACCGAGGGCTGTCTTCTTGTTCCATCTTCATACGACAGAGAGAGAACAAGCTTTGTGCCTCTTCTTCTAAGGACACTAATCCCATCATGGGGCCCCACTCTCATAATGT